AACATGATGATGAAATTCATCTGGAGGAACAAAAGAATCCCAAAGGAGTTTTGTTTTGTTTTGTTTTGTTTTGTTAAGTGGAAAGGAAGGTTTAGCACTCCTGGATCTCAGATTATATGCCAAAGCAGTAATCAGCAAAACTATTTGGTAAGGGTCTAGAAATTGAAAAATTGATCAATGGAACAGGTTAGATAAACAAGAAACAAAAGCAAATCAAGCATAGTAATATGTTGTTGTTTTGTCAATTAGTCATATCCGACTCTTTGTGACCCTATTTGGGGTTCTCTTGGCAAAGATACTGAAGTGGTTTGCCATTTCCTTCTCCAGCTCATTTTATAAATGAGGAAACTGAAGCAAACAGGGTTAAGTGACTTGCTCAGGATCACACATTTAGTAAGTGTCTGAGACCACATTTGAACTCAGGCCCTCCTGACTCTAGGGTCTGTGTTCTATCCACTGCATCACCAAGCTGCCCCAGTAGTATAGAGTGGTCTAAACCCAAAGACATCCATTACTGTGGTACTATCTATTTGACAAAGTCTGCTAGTAGAAAGGGAAAACAGTCTGGCAGAAATTAAATTTAGGCCAATACCTCACATCTTATAGCACAGTAAACTCCTAAAAATGAAAGGTCATATCATAAGCTAAAGGAGTAGGAAAGGATATATTTTTCATAACTATAGCTACTAAAAGAGTTCTTGACTAAACAAGGGATAGAGATAATCATAAAAGATAAAATGAATAATTTTGAATACCTAATATTAAACAATTTTTGCATAAGCAAAACCAATATGTATATAGGAACAACAAAACCCAGCAGGGAGATATTGAAAGAGAAATCCCATTTAAAATAACTGCAAACAGTATAAAATACTTGGGATTCTACTTCCCAAGACAAACACTGGAACTATGTGAACACAATTTAAAAACATTTTTTACACAAATAAAGACAGATATAAAAACTGGAAAAATATTAAGTGTTCATGGGTAAGGCTGAGTAAATATAATAGAAATGACCATTCTGCCTAAATTAATTTACTTAGCCCATACCATACCAATCAAACCAAACAATGAATTATGTTATAGAGATAGAAAAAATAATAACAAAATTCATCTGAGGAACAAAAGATCAAGAATATTAAAGGAATCAATTTTTAAAATGTGAAGGAAGGGGACCTAGCAGTACCAGACTTCAAACTGTGTTACAAAGTGGTTATCATCAAAACAATTTGGCACTGGATAAGAAACAGAGTGCTTGATCAGTGAAGTAGATTAGATACACAATTTAGAGAAGCAAATGAGCACAGAATTTGCTAAACCCAAAGATCCCATATATTGGGAAAAGAACTCACTGTTTGACAAAAACTTCTGGGAAAACTAGAAAGCAGTCTGGCAAAACCTAGGCATAGATCAACATCTCACACCAAATACCAAGGTAAATTCAAAATGGATAGATGATTTAGATAAAAAGGGATATTAAAAGCAAATTGGGGGGGCATGGAATAAATTACCTGTCAAATCTATGAATAGGGGAAGAGTTCATGACCAAAAGAGAGATGGAGAAGTTCACAAGAGGTAAAATGAATTTTTTTTTTATTTTTTTAAGGCAATTGGGGTTAAGTGACTTGTCCAGGGTCACACAGTTAGTAAATGTCAAGTGTTTGGTCTGAGGTTGGATTTGAACTCAGGTCCTTCTGACTTCAAGGCTGGTACTCTATCTACTTCGCCACCTACCTGCCCCAAAATGAATAATTTTATTACAAAAAAATTAAAGTTTTTGCACAAACAAAACCAATGCAGCCAAAATTAGAATAGTAGCAAGAAACTGGTTGGGGAGATTTATAGCAAATTTGTCACATTAAAAACCTCATTTCTCAAAAAATATAGAAAACTGAGCCAAATATATGAAAATAAGAGTCAAAAGATATGAACAGGCAGTTTTTAGAGAAAAAAATCAAAACTATCAACAATCATATAAAATATCTAAATCACTAATAAGTAGAGAAATGCAAATGAAAACAACTCTGAGGTATCAAATCGGCTAACATGACAGAAAAGTAAAATGACAAATGCTGGAGGGGATGTGGAAAAATTGGGATACTAATGCATTGTTGGTGGATCTGTAAACTAGTCCAGCTACTCTGGAGAATAATTTGGAACTATGCCCAAAGGGCTATAAGACTCTACATGCATTTTGGCTTAGCAATACCACTACAAGGTCTATACCCCAGGAAAAGCAAAGGAAAAGGAAAAGGAAGAAATATGTACAAAAATATTTATAGCAGCTTTCTCTATGGTAGCAAAGAACTGGAAACTGAGGGGATGCCCATCAATTAGAGAATGGTTAAACATATGGTACATAAATATGATTGAATACAATAGTTCTATAAGAAACGATGAAGGAAATGGTTTCAGAAAATCAGGAAAAACTTATATGAACTGATACAAAATTAAGTGAGCAGAACCAGGAGAACAATCTATACTGTAACAGCAATATTGTAAAGATGATCAGCTGTGACTTAGTAACTCTAATCAATACAATGATCAACCGCAATTCCAAAGGACTCATGATGTAAAATGCTATTCACCTTCAGATATAAAACTGATGGACTTAGAGTATAGATTAAAGCATTTTTCTTTATTTGTTTTTCTTGGTTTTGTTTTCAGAAGATGGCTAATGTGAAAATATGTTTTGCGTGGCTTGATATGTGTAATGTATACCGTATTTCCTGCTTTCTCAATAGGTAGGGGAGGAAAAGAATTTGGAACTGAAAATAAAAATAAAATTTTAAAATAAAAATAATTTTAAAAAAACCAATGTGGTTAGAGTTAGAAAGAAATTTAACTGGGGAAAATATTTATGGCAAATTTCTTTGATAAAGGCCTAATATCCAACATGTATAGTGAAATGATACAAATATTTGACAAAATAGCCGTTCCTCAATAGATAAACGACCAAATGATAAGGATAAGCAGCTCTCAAAGCAAGCTATCAATAGCATTTTTTCTCTAAACCATTAATACTAAAAGAGATACAAATTAAAACAACTCTGATTCCTAGTCCCACCTCCACCAGTCATTAATTGTGTGACCTTGGGCACATATTTTGGCTTTGGTAAGATTTCACCTTTGAGTAAGCTGATGTCTTAAAACCCTATCCAGCTCTAAGATCCTTTAACTCCGCAATCTGGCAGGCTGAGTTAAATGACAGAGAGGGGATTTCCTTTCAAATCATTGGCAAGATGATAGGAACCTGGAAGTGGTGATTGCATCATTCTGAAAAGGGGGCTCTCCTGGTTCATGGTGTTGACTCTCATTTTTGGGAATTTCTGGAGTCCAAACAAAAGGAGATTGTTCCTGCTGAGGGTTAAGGTCATTAGACAAGATGTTTCCTGAATAAGGTAATAAGGCATTTCTTTGTTGTTCCAGATACCTGCAGATAGGTTGGTGCCCACTTGGGTGTGGAGACATGCCGGTCAGAAATTTAAAAGAAATTTTCTGGAAATGGCAAGAGTTGTTGTGTCTGCCAACTTGGCAAATGAAACAGGAAAATTCTTATCATCTTAAAGAGGTCATGATGATTGTGTTGATCCCAGGAACTGCCAACCTGAGTCAGTGTGAGCCAGGGCACTAAAGCAATCTCTTGGTTTGTCTTTGTGTATTTTCAGATCAGGTTTGAAAAAGAAACAGAAGTATTCGCAGAACCTTAAGCAGACACATGGATGAGTTTGTAGAGGCAATATCTTTTCTGGACAAGATCAGAAAGTGGCTGAAACTTTTCTTCAGCTTCTTGGATCTTTCTTATCCAAGTTTTCCTCCTACGCCAATGGCCCATTGGCACTGCGCCCCGTTTTCCCTCAGGACCCACCCCCATGTTTGATTTCAGATCTCTTCTTATGCTAAAGTCTCAGTGTTAAGACAATTACCCGGAGCTATTTAGCCTCTGGACAGCTAGGTAACACAGTGGCTAAAGTGCTGGGCCTGGAATCAGGAAGACCTGAGTTCAAATCTGACCTCAGATACTTACTAACTGTGTGATCCTGGGAAAGTTTCTTAACCCTGTTTACCTCAATTTCCTCATCTATAAAATGAGCCGGAGAAGGAAATGGCAAACCATTCTGGTATCTCTGCCAAGAAAACCCCAAATGGGCTCACAAAGAGTTAGACACAACTGAAATAACTGAACAACAACAAGTATGACAGACACTGTGCTAAGCACTGGAAATGAAAAAAGTCTATAGAATTAGGAACAAGATTCAGACCTCATTTCTCTTGATGTTAAATTCAATGCTCCTTCCATTTCACCAGGCTCCCTCTACAATAGATGGTCTTGGAGAGTTGCTACAGCAAAAAAAAAAAAAAAAAAAAATTCATTATCCTGGGGCAAACCTAGTAATAAGTAATGAATTTAGCTAGCTAGTCTGGTCTTTGGACAGTAGACATATAGTGGGTCAATCACTGGGCCAATTCTTCATGAAATTTCAGAATAAAAGAGGGAAGTAACAGAGCCACACTGGTAGGTTAGGTTCTCATGGGACAAGGTTCAAGGTCTGCTCTGGGTTATCCATTCCTCAAACCACAGCTCAGCAGCCTCTGCCTATCTGTTTATCTTTATTCTGGTCAGCAAGAATACACAATTAAACAATTCATAAATGTCAAGGCAAAGTGTTTTATTGAAATAGCACAGTAAAAACAATAGCAATGCAATACCTCCCCCATAGACCTGGGACACTTTCCCGCAAAGGCATTGACTATGACATTGAGAAAATTAGACACATCTAGAGTTCACAAGTGGAAAGCCACAAATATATGGCCAAGGCATGTGGAAGGAAGGACAATTCCTACTGAAGCAACAGAGGCCTTGATGACCTTGCACTTCTCCTAAGACTCAACTCAGTTGTATGGTACCAGATGCTACTCTGATGGATGTTTGTTCATTGATTTCAGCTTCGGACACACCTGAAATCCTGGCCTGACCTACTTCTCTGCAGTTTCAGAAAGAACAAGAGGTCTTACCTTAGAACCATTAAGAGTCTCAGCTCTGGGGCCTACCATTTCCCAAGCAGGATCCCAGTTCCAGTCCCAGTAGACCATGGAAAGAGTTAAAAGTCTTTTGATTGAGTCATTTGGGTGAGAAGTATTAAATGAAAGAAAGAAAACTCCATCAGAGCAGTTCCTGTAGAAAGTCAATATTGGGTTTGTAATCAGATTTTATTCAAAGAAGAAAAGAAAAAAAGGGACTGTGGGTGACAACTTCCTTTTTGTATCCAGAAGTTTATAGGGCATTCTTCAGTCACCTGCCAAGTCAGTACAGGGGTGAATTGCCTTGATTTAATCTTATTTTCCACTCACTCTTGGGGTCAGATTAAGCCCACAGGAAGGTGCTGGCTTGGGAAATTCCTACTGACTCAGATTTCAGAGAGAGATTGTACTTAATCATCACTTCATTGCCTGAGCTACATAGCAGAAGTAAGAAGGCCCCTTAAGAGTGAGTTCTGGAGATCTGGAGTCAAGTGGAATTTCCCAAGAACATCTGCAACAGCAGCCCAGCTTCCAGTAAGTATTATCTTGGTGTGGCTGGGTGGCTTGATTTCTCAACATAATATTCATGTGGAGACTCAAAACCCTTATGGGTCAAATAGCAGCTGTCTGAAATTTGGGGGTGGGATAGCTGGAGCTCTGGGAATAAGGGAACTAGATAACTGGCTTTAAAGATCTTGAAGAGCCCTTGGGTGGAAAGGAGATTAGACTTGATTTGCCTGACCACTGAGGACAAGAGGAAGGGGCAGAAGCTCCAGAATGGCAGGTTTCTACTTGATGGAAGGAGAAAATGAAATGCCTACTAAGGGCAAGCTTGCAATTAGAACTATTCAGAGTGGAACAGGCTTCCCTGGAAGGTTGCACCTTCCCCTCACTGAGAGTCTCCAAACAAAAGCTGCATGACCAATTTTCAGGCATGCTGTGGAAGGGATTCCTGATCAGATGCAGGTTGTACTTCACGGTCTTTGAGGTGTTGTCCAATTCTTCAATTCAACGATTCTGGGTTTTTTCTGTCTTCAATAGCTTAGACTCTAAAGTCATCAGGAAACCAATCCCCCTGATAACACTTTCAAGTAACTCCTTAGTGGATAAATAATGATTAATAATAAATAAATCAGAAGACAATTATGGATGGGATATATCTTGAATGAGATTAAAAAACTAAATGTCAAATTGTTTATGTGGGTTTTGGGGGGTTGACATATGTGTGTGTGTTTGGGGGTGCACAGTGTGTTGTCAGTGAAAGGAAATATAAAGGGAACATTTGAAAAGTTTCTGTTCTTCATTCCTAAAAAGGCATAGAAATATAGATATCTAGACCAGTAGTCTCCAAACTTTTTAAATTATGAATCCCATCAGTAAAAGAAAAAATTTACCATATCGGCTCTAGTATAATAACAAGCATTTAGATAGCACTTCAAGGTTTTCAAAGTCTTTTACAAATTTTATTTCATTTTGTCCTCACAATAACCCTGGGAGAAAGATGCTATTATTGTGCCCATTTTATAGAAGGGGAAACTGAGGTAGACAGCAATTAAATGACTTGTCCAGGGTCACATAGCTAATAAGTGTCTGAGGCCAGATTTGAACTCAGGCTTTCCAGATTCAAGGTCCAGTTCTCTATCCACTATGCCACCTAGAACAAATCTCCCTATTTATAAATTATGTAGTGCTATATTAATAATTATGTACATTATAAAACTCACTCAAGTAATACATCTTTTAAAAAGATAAGATAAAGAAGTATTTAATACTAGAGTCAATGGAAAGTCACTGTAGTTATTGAATTAGGGGGATGATATGGTCAAACCTGAAACTTTAAGATCAATTTGGCAGGTTTGCAGAGAATAGATTCCAGTGGGGAAAGCCTTGAGGCAGAGAGAGCAGTGAGGAAACTATCGAAATAGTTTGGATGATAGATGATGAGGCCCTGTATTTGGATAGTGGATATTAGGGGAGGGATGGGATGAATTCAAGAGATGTTCTGGAGATTGGGAGGTACCAGCTTTGGCTACTGATTGGATTATGTAGGTTAAAGGAGAGTTAGCTTGAAAAATTAAGGGAGACACTAAGGTTTCAATCCTGAGTAATTGGAAGAATAATAATGGTTAGCATTTATATAGTGTTTTAAGATTTGCCAAGCACTTTGCAAACATTAACTCATTTGGTCCTCACCACATCTCTGGGAGATAGATGTTATTATTATTATTATTATTATTATTATTTCCATTTTACAGATGAAAAAACTGAGCAAGAGACTTAGCCAGGGTCACACAGCTAGTAAGTATCTAAGATTAGACTTGAAGCCAGTCTTCCTGACTCCAGTGCTCTATTAATTGCTTCACTTAGCTGCCACCAAAGATGGTAGTACCTTGGACAGGAATGAGGAATTCTGATTGGATTTACTATGTCCCACATAAATCAGAAGGTAAGGGTAGGGAGGAGTAGTCCTGTTCAGTAGCCACTGCCCTGATGCAGAGTCAGACCATTGAGGGATCCATACCACAGCCAGAAGTATTCTTCTGACTGACCTTTTTTCCACTAGCACCATCAGTCTTCCATGTTTGAAACCTTGAGATTATCTTTGACTATTTCTTCTCCTTCATCTCTTATATCAAGAAGTTACCAAAGCCTGATAGTTCCACCTCAGCAACATCCTCTCTTGCCTCATTGGCTGCCTCAAATATATACCTTCATCATACCTTTATTATTGTCTGTTTAACACATATTGCTACCTCTATTCTCCACTCCTACTCTCTCACATTCCCATCAAACTAATCTTTCTTATATGCAAATCTCGTCATGTCACTCCTCTGCTCAAAGATTTTCAGTGGCTCCCTACTATCTGCTGAGTATAATTCCAATTCCTTTGCCAGGCATTCAAGGTCCTCAACAACTTGGCTAGACCTTACTCAGATTCATAACTAGGATGGGGCCACTGGGGCTTTTCCCCATTTGGGAAGATATCTAATACATGCATTAGTTACTTTGCCACAGAGCAAAGTGAGAAGAACATGATCTCGGATGCTGGTTGAGGAATGGGGAACAGAAAGTTAACTATATGGACGGAGGACTTCAATTTATTGACTTCCTCCATCTCTCATTCCATCCCATAAATCTTCAATCTGCTTTATCTTATTCTTGCCTCACACCCTGCCCCCTTTCCCTTTTCTCTGTCCTTTCCAGGCAGACTAGCCTCTCTCCTTCCACAAGCTTCCCCCGTCCCCAACCTAGGGAGAGAAGGGACAATCCCAGTGCTACTTGTGAAGAAGGGAACCTCAGCGAGGCCTCTCAGGTAAAGCATAGAAGACCATGGGACCTCAAATCCCTTTCTTGGAAAAGGAAAGTTTAGGACTAAATCCCAGGTCCTTCTAGCTCTGGTATTCTATCTTCTAAGCTGGTACAGTAACTCTCTCTCCCACTCCACTGAATCTGTCTTAATTACTTCTTGTATTATTTTCTCATTCTGAATTACAAAATCCATTTGAGGTCAACTTAATTTCTTGTTACCCCAGTTGATGCTGCTTGTCACATGCCTGGAATATATTCCTTCCTTATTTCTGCCTCATAGGACCTTCCTCTTCCTTTCAGACACAGCTTAAGCACCACTTTCTGCTTGAAGCCTGTCGTCCCCTCCCAAGGCAATCGGGGTTAAGTGACTTGCCCAGGATCACACGATTAGTAAGTATCAAGTGTCTCTGTCCACTGCCTGTTCTGATCCTCACCAGCCGCTAGTTCCTCAACTCCCCCCACAAACTACTTTATATTTCACTGTTTTGCATATATTCCTCTTTTTGCCTGCTAAATTTCTAACCATCCTTTAAAGTCTGGCACAGAACCACTTTCTTCATAAGGCCTGATTCTGCAGCTAATAAAAAACTGCCCCCCTCCCTTTAAACCTCATAAAACACTTTCATTTTGCAGCTCTCTGATTTACTTCTCTTTGCCATCACAGATCTAGACCTTGGAGGGTCCTTGCAGTACATCTAATCCAAATTCCACATTTCATAGATGGTAAGTGAAATGACCTAATATTATGTATTATAGTTACCTCTGTGTCTTATCTATCCCTCTGCCAGACAATAATTAAATTCAAATTAATAAACATTTATTAATTCCTGCAGTGAACAAAGCATTGTTCCAGGAGATATGGATATAAAACCTAAAATCAAACTGTTCTTGGAATTGACAGTCTGTTGATGTCAATAGGAGTGCAGTGAATTAACTCCAGAAGCTGTGCTGACTTCTATGACCAGATTACGAATAGTTCAAGTTTAAAATCCTGCAGTTTATAACCCAACAATTCTATACTTTGTTGTTGTTTGTTGAATCATTTTGGTTGTGTCCAACTTTCTGTGACTCCATTTTGGGGTTTTCTTGACAATGATACTGGAGTGATTTGTCATTTCCTTGTCCAGCTCATTTTACAGATGAGGAAACTGACACAAACAGGGTGAAATGACTTGCCCAGGGTCACATAGCTAGTAAGTATCTGAGGGTGGATTTGAACTCAGGTCCTCCTGACTCCAGGGCCAGTGCTCCATCTACTGCACCACCTAGCTACCCCTCTATACTCTGTGAATTACATTTCAAAATAAATTGTTATTGGTATCTTTTCTTTTTATATCTCCTTAATTCCTCTACTAAGTGCCAATAGATGCTTAATAAATGCTTATTGACTGACTGATTCTCCTAAAATAGTCTGACAGATACTATTCCTCCTTGCAAATGATATCCCCTTTAACAAATAATATTTTTAAAGAAAAAAAAGGAAGGAGAGGAAGAAAAAAAAACTGATCAGTTCATCAAAAAAGTCCTAAATTATATGCAGTGTTCCACATTTATGGACCTCTTCCCCTCCCCTCCCCCTTGCAAAGGAGGTATTTTTTCAAATCTCTTGGAGGCTATGCAATTCTATAATGTTCAACTTCAATTTATTTTATATTAATGCCCTTAAGTGCTCATCTCCATGGAGGAAGGGACTGTGTCTTCTCTAAATGTTGCATCTTTTCCAGGACCAAGCACACTACTGGGGCACACAGTAGGTGCTTAAATAAATTTGCTGAATATTATTGGATCTGAACCTCTCCCCTGTTTCATGTCAACTTTCAGTATTGCAGATCCTTCCAGGCAAGAGCCCAAAAACCATTTAAAAATCAGTAACAGAGAATATGTCCTACAGAGAACAGCTCTGGTAATAATCTTGTGCACACCTGCAAAATACCACTGTCTTTACCAATCAGTTTTCAGCTACTTGGATGTTTCCTGGTTACGGTTGCTATTGATCTGTCTTTGGGCAGAAAGAAAAAAACCGATTTTTCTCATGACTTAACTCACACTCTATTTGTCCAACATTCCTGTAATAGCTGATCATTGGCGTCTTCATCATACCACTATATTATTTATTATCTGGCTAATCAGTGCAGTGAACTGTTTATTGTTCAGGGACTAAATAAATTGGGCCTTTTTTTTTTTTTTTGACAGATAGGAGGAGGCATCTGCAATGGCTTCCAAACCTCAAACTTACTCAGGTAACAAATTGATGCTATCTTAGAAAGAAAAAAAAGATCTTTTGTATCACCTGAAATCTTCTAATCAATTTATTTGAAAGGAATCCAGCTTTGGTTTTATCAACAGGAAGCATTTTTATGGAAGATTCTCCTCCAGTGGGAAACAGCCACTGTTTAAACCAATTTCCTTTCCTTCCTCTTAAGGTGGACAGTTGGAATGTAAGTTCCTCTAGGGAAGGGATTGTTTGTTTTGTTTTTATATCTCCAGTGATTACTAAAGATGCCTGGCATACAGTAGAAACTTAATAAATACTTGTTGAATTGAATTGGACCTGTATATTCATCCTAGAATAGATTTCTTGGGCTGTTTTTTCTCATTTGATGGTTGTAAAATAGAATGGAATTTTCATTTCTAAACAGATAAAGCAAAATAAAGGCCAACGAAAGTTTTCATCAAATTGATGCTATCCCTAAACCAGAGGAACTGCCTATTATCAATATAGGATCATCCGATTCCCCCTATAGAGCTGGAAGGAATCTTAGAGGTCATCTAGGGTATCAGATTTTACAGTAAGGATAGCACTGACTTCACTAACCACACTCCTCATGTCTGTATGGCTCAACGATATATCAAGTAAAGTATAAGGGTTGAGGATGGAGTAAGCAAAGGATTCTTTCATAGGATAGAAGGAACTCAGGAAGACTTGAGTTCAAATCCAGCTTCATGATACTTAACTAGCTGTGTGACCCCAGGCAAATCATTTAACCTCTCTTTGCCTTATTCCACTGGAGAAGGAAATGGCAAATAACTCCAGTATCCTTGCCAAAAAAAAACACCCCATAGACAGTCTGATCCCCGGAGTTATGAAGAGTCAAACATGACTAGATGGTTGAACAAGAGTCTTCTGTAGGATGCTCTTCCCATTCCCTGTTGATTCTAGTGCCTTTCCTCTACTGATTATTTCCTATTTATCCTGTATCTGCATGTTGTCTCCCCCATTAGATTGTGAGTTCCTCAAGGGCAACGACAGTCTTTTGCCTTTCTTTGTATCCCCAGCATTTAGCACAGTGCCTGACACATGCTTAATAATAATGCCTATTGACTGACTGATTCTCTTAATAATCTTACAACTGCTATGCCCAGAGCATTGTTGGGGATGGCAACTCCTATCTTGGCAATAACAGTTGTAATAGAATGAGAGTACAAGCCAGTTCCAATAAACTGAATGATATGAGAGGAAGCATTTCTAACTAAGAGAAGAAGAAATAGTAGAAAGAGACTTCCTGGTGCTTATGATATTGAAGCTTGGTCTTGAAAAATGGGTGGGATGTCAACAGATGGAGATTATCATGTAGGGGATAGAAAGGTCATTCCAAACACAGGGAATAGTTTGAGGAAAGGCAGAGGTAAAAATGTTAGACATGTTCGAGTGATGGTCAGTAATACAAGTCAGCTGAAATATAGCATATGTGGAGACAATGAAGAAGAAAGGAGGAAGGCACCATATTGAGGAAGGCCGACCAAAAGAGTTTGGACTTTATTCAGTAGAGAGTGGGGAGAGTTTTGAACAAAGGAGTTAAGTGATCATATCTGTGCATAAGGAAGATTAATCTGACTGTGATGTGAAAAATGAATGAAAAGAATGGAGTGATGAAAACCAATTAGGACGTTGTTAGAGAAGTCCATTATTCACTTTGGCAAAACCCTCTACATTTGCAAGAGAAACCTTCTTGCTGAAAGCCAGTTAGTAAATTTATTGAGGATTAATTATTCAGTAATAGAAAATATCTAGAAGTGATAAGGAAAACTAGATCTGAAACAAGGGAGACAGTCCCTTCAAGATGAGGTTACTTTCTCTTTGGTGTAAACACCACCAAAGTAGCCCAACCTCATGATGAGAACTGAGGTGCTGAGTGTAGAGTTATCCATTTTTGTAAGTAAATGGTCAAGAGTGGGGAAGCCCTTCCTGAATTTTTTCCATGGGAACCCAGACTTGTATATTGGGTGGTGGGGCAATGGGGTGGGATGGGAACCTTGACAGTTGTTATTTGCTTTGTCCTGGGAGCTTCATTTAATAAAAGAGAGTTCAGTTCTCTAATGAAGTTTTTTTTTTCAAACTGAAAAATAAAACAAAAAACTAAACTCGGCAAAAACCACAGCCGGCATGTACAAAAGAAATCAATTCCTTTTCATTTCAAACTTGAAAAGATTCTACTTTCCAGTCTTAAAAGGCAGGTGATAGTTGAGTTTGATTGGGGTTTTTTTGGAGGGCGGGGTGAAGTGGAAGGTGGGTATTGTTATTGGTGGGGTTTTTTTAAGACAGTAGGCAAAGAAGAACAGATTAAGCTTGTGCTTCAGTGGCTAATAATATAACAGAAACAAGAATAAAGCCTTGTTCATGTCTGGAGAGCCAACAAAAGTGAGTCAGAAATGCAAAGGAAAAAGAGCAAATAAGAGACTCTCAGCACAATCAGAATAATACCAATCTATTGCTGCCAATCTTATACCCGGATTTTCTCTCCCCTGAGCTATTGTAAGTTTGTTATTTAGGGGTGGGTTGTGATAGTTGCTTTGCTATCATTGTTGTTGATATTTTGGTGGGGGAGGGGAGGTTGGAGGCACTTCTTTCCATAACTAAGTCACTTGCAGACCTTCTATGAGTTAAACAGTAATATCTCCAACTGAGCAAGCTCTTTTCTTAGATTGACCAGAAATAAATTGAGTAATAATTCTATTCATTTTTATTGTTGTTATCAGCCAAACAAATGCCGTTTTATTATGAAAATGAAGTCTGCAGACAAGCCCACTTTATTAAATCACCACCTCCTCAGCTTTTCTCCTCACAGGTATGGTATTCAGTACAATTAGGAATCCTCCCACTGCCTTCATCAGCATTTTTTGCTTCTGCTCCCCCAACATCTCACAAAAATGCAAAAAAAATTTTTTATTGTGTAGACCTCCTGGAAAAGTCGGTATTTCATCCTGTCAAAAAATGAGGAAAATTGCTACAGTCTTCAGTATTTTAAAGACCATCACTGCCGGGGTTCCATTGAAGTTGATCAGTGAGTACAATTTTTATCAACTTCAGATCCTGAAAAATCAAAGTGGCTTCATATAAATAGTGAATTTAAGTCATTGATCTAGAGAGTTAGGCCAAGGGCTTCGAACAGAAAGTGACTCTTGTCACTGGAAAACAGCTAAGAGTGAACGTTTTGAAAAAATACACAGGGTTTTATTTCACAGTCCATATAGTTTAGTTGTTAAAACTTCAAGTAACAAGAGTTCAACAAAGACAGACCATGTTTTTTCACTCTCATAAATTACTTGTGTGTGTGTGTGTGAGTGTGTGTATGTGTGTTTGTGAGTGTATGTGTGTGTATTTCCTCCTGACTAGATAATATTTAGCTCTACCACAAAAGGAAGGTGAAAGGATCGTTTAATCTACGCAGAACTTTGCGCTTAAGTGAGTCATTAGGAAAACATGTTAGGTTACATCATCACTTCTCATATTAACAAACTGCTCAAAAGATATCAAAGAAAAGGCTTAAGATTCATTAATAGGAAACCAGGAATTTGAATGGAGCCAGAAGAAAGCCCAAACTATACAAATCGCAATACTTTTCTCAGCTTTGCCTGAACCAAACCTAAATATTAATGCAACCATTAGATTATAAGCCTAGCAAATAATTTTTGATCACTTAGTGAGTAAGTCTGAGCCAGTACCAAATTTAGTTTCTAAGACTACTAAATCATCAGGCAGCTAGGGAGCACAGCAGATAGAGTGCTGGGCTTGGAATGAGGAAGACGTTTTCCTAAGTTCAAATCTGGCCTTAGACACTCACTGTGACCCTGGGCAAGTCACTTAACCCTCTTTGTCTCAGTTTCCTCATCTGCAAAATGAGCTGGAGAAGGAAATGGAAAACCACTCCAGTATCTTTGTCAAGGAAACCCCAAATGGGATCATGAAGAGTTGGACATAACAACAAAAGCAAGAACCAAATCATCATTGAAGTATTCTCAAAAGTGGAATGAACATCCTATTAGAAATTTTAATTTTCATTTGAATCCAATGGATATCTCATACTTTTTAATTCCCTGAATAAAATTACACACCAGTTTTCTCCCCAGTTTTTTGTTTACATCAGTTTAATAGGACATGTCATGGAGTTAAGGTAGAGTGCTGGATTTAGAAGTCAGGAAGACCTAGATTAGAATATTACCTCAGACTAGCTGCCTTATGCCAAGAAAGTCACTAAACTTTTTCCAGCCTCAATTTCCTGATATATACAATGGGGATAACATCTATGGTACTGCACAGGATTGTCTTGAGGACCAATGAGATCATTTGGGGAGCTTTGCAAATCTTAGGGCACCAGCTAAATCTCTACTGTTATTATCACTCAACAGAATTTCCAATGTAGAAGTTGGCATCAGTAACCATGAGAAAATGGCAATAGTCCAAAAGATGTTTAAATGCTTACCTGATGAAGTGATGTCCATTATAACCCCTAAAAGGGCTTACTTTCTCATTGGCAAAGACTGGTGAGTGGCAGAAGGAAAAAAGATTTCTCTTCTATAATCTCTCTACTCTTCCTTTTTAACTTAATCTGAGACCAATACAGAAGGCAACAAATCCAAATATAGCGTACACTTAAATTTTTTTGTTGTTGAATTGAGTATCATCTTAATAGAGTCTACCATTTGTGAAGAAATCCTGGTGGCTCTTGCTTTAAGAAAACTGGGTATTCCAACAAAGAGACTCACAAAAAGATATAAATTAAGGGTTGGTAACTCTCCTCTCAGAAGGATCTACCACTTCATGAAAAAGATTTCTTTCAGCAAACATGCTGAATATATTACTTGCTGATTATTAGCAAATTGACAGAAAAGTTGGGAAACAGGGCAAGAAATAAACAATTTGTGGAGACAGAGAACTTAAAAGCATTGGGCACCACAAACAATTTGGTCATGATCAAAGAGAAAATAAGACTTCTCTGAAGTTTTCATGGAAGCAAACAGAAAATAAGATATACTTTATCAAAATTTAACAAACCTTTTTGAGAACGCTATCTTACGTCAAGTGAGGCACAATCTGGGTAGTTTATACAAAAGTACGGGCAGGGTAGGTACATGCTCAAAAGCACAAAAGAAATTGGTGTCTAAGACAGGCATTAGAAACCATATCATAATTAGTATTATTTCCCACTTTCCTCCTCATTCCTACCACTTTCCTCATAGAAGCATCACAAGGATTCGTCTTTAAAATTGAGGGGGGGATGAGCATGGGGGGGAATTCTGGGGCCAGGTACCTATTGAAGAATGGAACCTTATTTCCCTGCTAATGTTCCTTGGGCTTTTCTAACTTCAAATAGCAGAATCTTGGCTCAAAATAAATCCAGTCACTATTGTTCACTATTGAAACTTTAATTTCCATCAACAGGAGAACAATTGAAGACTGGGTCTCCTTCATATCATCAACCTGCCTGGATCTGAAAGTCACCCATCAGAATGTAAAGGTGACATTCCTTTACTAATAATGCGATAGGCCGTCTAAGTCTGACCTTCTTTCAGAAGTAATCAAGAGAGCTTCCTCCTCCTCCTCCTTCTCCTCCTTCTTCTCCTCCTCCTTGTCTTCATCCTCATCCTCATCCTCCTCCCCCTCCTCCTTCTTTTTCTTCTTCTCCTTCTTCTTCTATAAGTA